GCTGAAGGAGATCCAATAACTAAATTAACAAGTCCTTGCTTAAAGAAGAATCTAATGAATACATCTCTAATGTCCTCCATATTAAGTATGGAACTGCAAATAAACATACTCCTGAATATCAGATTATGTTCATGTTGTTAGGTGCCATCAAGTTGGTACTGACTCATGGCAACCCTATGTACACTGCCCGGTCCTGTGCCAAGCTCACAGTCATTGCTACATTTAAGCCTATTAATGCTGCCACTGTGCCAATCCATCTTCTTAGGGGGTCTTCCTCTTCTTTTCCAACCCTCCATTTTTCCAAAAATGTTTTCCTTCTCCAGAGACTGGTCCCTCCTGACAGTATGTCCTAAGTATGAGAGTCAAAGTCTGGCCATCCTAGCTTCCAGGGAGCATTGTGACTGTATTTCTTCCAACACAGATTGATTTGTTCTTTTGGCAGTCCATGGGACTTTTAATATTCCCCTACACCACCATAATTCAAATGAAAAAATTCTTCTACAGTCTTCCTTAAATCACTCTCCAACTTTCACATGCATATGAGGATATTGAAAATACTATGGCTTGGGTCAGACACACCTTAGTTCTCAAATTGAAATCTTTGCTCTTGAACACTTTTAAGAGGTCTTATGAAGCAGATTTGCCTAATGCAATATGTCATTTGATTTCTTGACTGCTACTTCCATGAATATTGATGGTTGATCAGAGTAAAATGAAGCCTTTGACAATTTCCATGAATTGTCCTTTTATCATATTATTTATTGGTCCAGTTTATCATATTATTTATTGGTCCAGTTTATATTCATATCTATACACAACTGGGGTAGAGGTAGTGGACAAATGGCTAGACTAGAAAAGAGACGATTATAAGCAATAAAGATCCTGCAAGTTCTGATAAATTAAACTCAACAAGTCTCCCCTGCTGACAGTAGCAAGGGCTTTGACACATATGGGCACAAATTGGAAGGAAAACTTAGTACCACTGAACTACAGAGGGAGAGGACCAGAGCCACAGAGGACAGCGAATCTGCAGGGGATTCACACCTTTGCTGAAAAGTTTGTTTTATTGTGATAAAGCATGTTAATTTCCTTCCATCTGGTAGCTTTAGGATTATTATTCTTTCTCATTTCTCAAGTTGTAAAATTAAGTTATTCATTTAAGACTTTTCTTCTGTTTTAATGTAGGTATGTATAAATTTTCTTCTGAGCCATAGCTTTACAACATCTCATAAATTTTATGTTTCATTTTGATTCATCTCTAAGTATTTTCTAGTTTTCTTATAATTTCTCCTTTGACTCATTGGTTCTTTAACAGTACTGTTTAATTTTCATATATTACCAAAATTCCATGTTCCTTTTGCTAATGATTTCTTGTTTAATTCCATTGACGTTAGAAAAAATACTTTGTATGACTTCAGTTTATGTTTCTTTTTAATATTTTTTTAAATGTTTTATTGTGAATTATGTGATAGTTTACATGGGAGAACATTAGCTTTACATTTATCCTATCGTATATCCTTTCATTGCCATGGTTACAATCCCCTCCATGCATCATCAACCAACCAAAGGGTATACACTACAAGCCTGCCCCCAGGTCATCAGCACACAGCCCCTCTCCCTCCATGAGTCTAGAGTCCCCAGCCGCTCCATCTCTCCACATCATCATCTCTGCCATCACTGTTTCTCTGGGTAGGGTCCACACTCTGCTCTTCTCCCTTGATGGTCCCAGGGACCTTCACTCCTGGACTACAAAGACAATCATTCCCCTCCTTTTGCTATAAACATCTACCTTTACATTTCCAGCCCTCACAGTCAGTCCTGATAACAATTATTCACTATTGTACCATAATAGACCTATTCCCCATCTCCTTTCATCAGCCCCACCCTAACAGATTGGATACTACTCACTGGTGATTCTACCTTTCTCCACACCCTCTGGATCTAGGTTCCCTCTTGAAAGCTTGTAAGCCTGTCTCTTTTTGCCTTTGTAGCCCCCCACTTTGGGTAGCCAATGTCCAAGTTGTCTATCCCTGTCTGCCCTGTGTATCGCGAGGGGGGTGGGAATTATCCCTGCTGTAAAGACGTGTTCCCTCTTCTGAGCTACTGCATCCATAGGTGTAGGTCAAGTTCATCAAATTGTATCAGATTACTCTTTTTTTCCTCTTCTTCTAGTTGAGCTCTGATCATCCAGTCATTGAAGCCAGGTCAAGTGGGTATTATCTGCAAGTGTGGATGTTCTTATGCATATGCCCTCTCTTTTATCAGCTGGATGGTTCACTCTCCTTTTTATGTTTCTTGAGGCTTGTTTTGTGACCTAGTATAGGTCTACCCTGGAAAATGAACTATGTGCACTGGAGAAGACTATGTATTGTGCTTTTGTCCAGTGGTGTATTCTATTCACAAGGGTAAATCAAAAAGTAATGCTACAAAATTACAAAGACCGTTATTAAACAAAATGTGAAGCCATTGTTTCTCAACATATCTTCCATATAAGTCTACACACTTCTGAAGACAGTGTTTTTACCTCATCCCAAAGAATTCTGTGCTCTTCAGAACACAGCAGTTTGGTCATCCTCAAGGGATTCAAATTATGATCTTGTTGAGTTTTGAGGACAAAAGGAAATTTGAAGAGGCAAAATCAGATCTGTAAGGTGAATGGGGTAATGTTTTCCAATGAAATTCTAGTAGGACAGCCCTCGCTACCCTCCAAGAATCAGAAGATGCATTGTCACGATGGAAACATTCCTGAACACAACTTTCCTGGTCTTTTTCTCACCAATGCAATTTCCAATTTTCTTAAAGCTTCTTCCTAATAAGCTCCCATGATCATCCTGCGTCCTTCAAGAAAGTCTATCAAGCTTACCCATTTAGAATCTCAAAAAACAGTCACCATAACCTTGTACACTGACCTCTCTGCCTTGAATTTAACTAGTCCAGTGGATCTCTTCGGAAGCCACTGTTTTGATTGGACTTCTTTTTTTGAAGGCACCCTGAGGATAAGATAAATGTGTTACTGAGAGAACTTGTCTGCAGCCAACTGCTGATGTCAGAGGCATTTTGTTTGGAATCAATCCATTCATGCATGTATAGAACCTCGGTGGCAATACTTTTGACTTACCCTTGTATATGGTGCTTCCAAACGTATTACTATTTATAGGAAACTCTCTCTCAAGCAATCCCAATCTGAGTCCTTATCCTTTGTGAGCTCTAATTCTGACCCAACCAAGGCTGCAGGCCTCCATGCAGCTCCCAGATAGATGATGACAAATACACTGAACAGTTTCCCAGCAAAATCTGCCCTAGTCACTCCAGAGCCGGAAACACACACTGTGGTTTGCCTTGCTACAGTCACCTAGTTGTTGCACTAGGAGGGAAGGACAGCAGAAAAATACATTTTCCTACATACTTGGGACATGTTATCATCAGGGACCAGTCCCTAGAAAGGACAGTAGAGGGTCAGTGAAAAAAGGAAGACCCTCTTCCACTTGACCTGGCTTCAATGACTGGATGATCAGAGCTCAACTAGAAGACAGAAGAGGAAAAAAAGACTAATTTGATGAACTTGACTTACACCTATGGATGCAGTAGCTCAAAAGAGGGAACAAATCTTTACAGCGAGGATTATTCCCACCCCCTCCATATACAGAGTAGACAGGGAGGGACAACTTGGACACTGGCTACCCAAAATGGGGGGAGGGGGGCCTACAAAGGCAAGAAGTGACTGGCATACAAGCTTTCAAGAGGGAGCCTAGATTCAGAGGGCATGGAGGAAGGTAGAATCTCCACTGAGTAGTAACCAATCTGTCTGGGCAGGGCTAATGAAAGGTGATACAGATAGGTATCTTGTGATACAATAGTGAATAATTGCTATCAGGACGGACTGTGAGGGTTGGAAATGTAAAGGTAGACATTTTGTAGCAAAAGGAGGGGAGTGGTTGACTTTGCAGTCCAGCAGTGAAGGTCCCTGGGACCATCAAGGGAGAAGAGCAGAGTGTGGGACACTACCCAGTAAAGCAGTGATGCCAGAGATGGAGGCAGAGACAATGTCGTGGAGAGATGAAGCGCCTGGGGACTCTAAACCCAAAGAGGGAAAGGGGCTGTGTGCTGATAACTGGGGGGCAGGCTTGCAGGGTATACCCTTTGGTTGGGTGATGATGCATGGAAGGAATTGTAACCATGGCAATGAAACAATATACAATAGGATGAATGTAAAGCTAATGTTGTCTCATACAAACGATCACATAATCCACAATAACGTTTAAAAAAAAGGGAAGACCTCAACAAGATGGAGTTGGCACAGTGGTTGCAATAACAGGTTCCAACCTAGCCCCAACTGAGAAGATGGCGCAGGATCAGACTGTTTCATTTTGCTGTACGTGGGGTTACCAGGAGTTAGAAGCGACTCAGCAACACCTACCTAGCAACAACAAACTGTTTAAGTTGTCATTTACTTTCCTCCATGTGCAGTTACTGCAACACTCCTCCTGCCTCTCAGAATCCTTATAAACTTGAGATCACGGATTTCTGTTTTTCCTTACAGCGTATGTAGCAGGGGCACCATCTTAGACCCGCTGATACTGAGATGCTGCTGGAGAAATTCTGACCCCAGACGCAGTCAGCACAGCTGTCCATGCCTTCTCTTAAAAGAAAGTCCATTCCTATTCCATGTTCTGCAAGCCTTTGCTGGGGTCCCCAGACACTGGCAAAGAGTCGATACAATTTTATTGGTTAAAGAAATGGCAAACTTGACTGGGAATCCTCACCACTGGGTACCATCAATCTGGCTAGAGAGAAGGGTAAGGGGGAAAAACAGACAGAAAGGAAAGGAGAAGGAAGGGGAGGGAGGCAGAGCAGGAGGAGAGCAGAAAGAGGAAGAAATAAGGAAAAGGCTGCAGATGAGGGTCTGCTCTGGATAAGGGCGTAGGTCTCAGGAGTAGACAATTCAGGGCCACAGGTGGGAGGAAGAAAGCTGGGAGAGGAGTGGCCCGTGGTACCGCCAGCTAGAAGGGTAGCACTTCTTCCACAGGGATGTTGAGGATGACGTCCATTTCTGGAGTGCACCTGGTAGGAAGCAGCGAAGAGGACTGTGAGACACCCATCACGGATGACAGAGGTGGGGCAGAGGGAGCATGCCCTGTTTAGAATACTGGTACTGCCTGGGGGAGCCCCATACCAAAACAAACCTGTGACCTCGCAGCCCAACTGTGCTTACATGCACTAAAGACAAAACAATCAGAAACGGAAAAGGAACAGGGTTGGCAAGACTAATGTTTCCCTAAAGAGGGCTGAAGTCAAGGGGAAGCAGAAACTGTTTCTGAAATGCTGAAGTGCCTCAGAGAGGAGCACTCTGTTTGGAGTCAGATGACTGAGTTGGAAACCTTACTCCTGGTGGCCGTGACCACGCCTTTTCTTCTCTCAGAGCCTCACTCCTTCACTTGGTACCTATGTACCATGCATCCACTATGTGCCAGGAACCAGGGAGGCCTCAGTTTCCAGAGTATGGCAAGACAAAGAGTCAGAAAAAGATCACTTACTTGGGTCTCCGAAGCAGGACATCCTCAAAGATGATCTCTCTGTGTCCTCGGACCTGGGCTTGGAGGTGTCGCACCTCATCTCGTAATGAGGGTATATCTTCCATAAGCTGGTCAATAAACTGAGGAGAGAAGTGAAAAGCCAAAGGGTATGAGGAACAAGGCGTAAAGCCACCTGGGGCAATGACCTGGCCTTCATCATGGGGCCAGCCTGGGCTCTTAAGAAGAACTCCCAGTATAGATAGGGCAGGCTGGTCCTCAGATTAATGACAACATTTGCTGGTGCCGATAAAGGTTAGGAGATGATGGAGGATGGCAACAGTAGCATTACTTGTTAATAAAAATGGATGAGAATGTGGTACAGTGGGCTAATCACTGGGCTGCTAACTGCAAGGTCAGTAGTTCAAACCCACAGCATGGGAGAAAGATGCTCCTGTAATAATTTACTCAAAATCCGTAAGGAGCAGTTCTACTCTGTTTTATAGGGGCTGCTCTGAGTCCGAACAGGGTAGAGGGTTTTATTATTTGGTTTGGTGGAGATGGTAAAGGCACACAATATGGATAGGTACAAGAAGGAGGTTGATGGAAATTAAAGAAAAGCAAGTTGTGGCTAAGTTCATTAGCGTTAATAATGGGTGATGGTCAATAACAAGAATTAAGACAGTGGTGGTGATTGTGGCCCTTCAAGTCAGTTCCCACTCACAGTGACACCGTATAGTTTCCAAGGCCATAAATTTTTACAGGATCAGAAAGCCTCATCTTTCTCCTGTAGAGCGGCTGGTGGGCTCAAACTGTGCACCACCGAGCTACGTGGAGTGAAGATATTGTTAAGTGCTGTCGAGTCAGTTCTGACTCACCTTGACCCAGTATAGAGTTCCCAAGGAGCGGCTGGTAAGTTTGACCACCGACCTGCAACTCAGACCAACCTTGCGGTCCAGTGCTATCCTACAGCGCCACACCTAGAGGACTCCAGGAGTGAAGGTGGAGGTGGTGAATGACGGTCAAATGAATGACAGCTGAGCAGGTGATGCCTGATGCTGTTCCTAATGAGGGAAGGCCCAGGCCAGCACTCACCTCTTTCCCAGGTAACAAGTGAAAGCAATGGCAACTTTACTTGGAAGGCCACCACCAGTGTTGGGAGACTTTCTGAGTGCCAGATCAGGACATGTTTGACTTCCATAGGTCCTGAGGACCGCCCACCCCTCTGCTACCTCACAGAGGGGCCATCATCTTCTTTGCCCACTCACATCTCTGAACACGTCCACGTATTTCAGCATATACTGGTTATCCCGAGTGTTCTGTACAAGAATCTCTTGGTAGGGTTGCATGACTTTCTGTGGAGGAAGAAGAGAGAGGTAGGGGACCTTGAGGTTGAGTTGAAGGAATAGAACCTGGCTGGAGAGGCCCAGATGCCCACCACAGAAGTCTGGCTACGCACCACAACCACAGACTTCAAAAGGCTTTGTTTCTTCCTCTGAATTTTATTGGACACTGCCTGCAGGACCAACTTACGCATCTCACTGAGATCGTCCAACTCATCCTGAAAGACAGCAAGAGGTTGCTGCCAGGCGTCCTGTCTCCTGCATGGTGCAGGGGCCCAGGGCAGGGGCTGACCTACCTGCTGCCTGTCTCTCATCTGCTGGAGCTGGCGCAGAAGGGTGGCAATCTGGACTGACCTAATGGGATACTCATGGTCCATGTACGTGTTCAGGAAGTTCACTTCCTCCTGAGTCTTCTTGATCTTTGCATTCAGCTGCTCCATCTGCTTTTCCAGACCTGGGAATGGGTGAGGGAAGTCAGGAGGGGCAGGAGGTAGGGCCTTCCCCTCCAGGACCCCTCCCAGGAGGCCTGGAAGTCAAGGCTCTCCTTGGCCAATGGACTGGTATTTGGGCTACAGTGAGCTAACAGGCTGGGAGGCAAAAGTTAAGTCCCTAAAGTCTACCACCCCTCACAGGAGAAGAGGTGAATCCCAGAAAAGAGAAATTAAACTGAGTGCAAGATACCTGAACTATTTCTACCTCTGCCAAGACCTGCATGTTCTGGACCTCAGCTCCATCCATGCACACACCCAGGGAGACATGGCCACAGGAGAATTAAGACAAAGTATGTCCCACCTTCCTCCACAGAAAGGAGCCCCAAGATCTCAGGTAGCCTGACACACTGCCCCTCCCCTCAGAAGGATTGCAGTCTGCTCAGGGGAAAAACCAAAAGGCCCAGTTGGATGGAAGCCAAAACACCTATGTCCTGGCCAAGCCAGTGACCCTCAGAGGGGCCTTGGTAGGGAATATAGATAGACAGGGATTGGATCCTGGATCCTGGCTGGTGTCACCTTAGCCAGTTTCCTAATCTGTAAAATGGGAGAACGTCCTTTGCCTCACAGGTAGTTCTAATGACTGAGTTAAGGGTGTACTCATACAAATACAAACCCCTCAGGGCCTGGGAAATGCTTGGTAAGTAAGCTATTAGCTCTGCATTCTATCAGTTCCACCTGACTAAGAAGGGAAGTACCAGTGAAGGCCCTGCAGCTGACCTCCCCAAAGGGCCAGGGGTGAGAGCCAAGGTGTCAGTTGCAGAGATTCTTACAGCTCATCTTCTGTTCCTCCTTCTCCTCAAACTCCTGCAGCTCACACGTCAGCTCCTGCAGTCTCTTCTTGTTTGTGTACTCCAAAATGTCGATGATGTTCTATAGGAGAGTAGGCTCAGCTCATTCCCAGCTTCTGCTGGCACTGCCCAAGATGTCGACCCTCAGGGACTGGGGCGATGAGGTGAGGACACAGACTACTGTGGCCTCTTAGCACTTTCTCAGAGAAGCCAAACCCAGCCCCACTCCTGTCCACAACAAACAGACTAGAAGTCGTGGCCACACACCCCTCCAAACTTCCCCTGCTCTACAAGGGAGAAAGATGAGGCTATCTGCTCCCTTAAAGAGTCACAACCTCAGAAACTCTATGCAGGGTAGCTGTGAGTCGGATCCAACTCCACGGCACACTACCACCACCACCACCACCACCACCACCCTACTAGCACAGTGGGTTACAAGTTGGGCTACTAACCACCAGGCCAGCAATCTGAATCTATCAGCCGCTCCACAGGAGAAAGATAAGGGTTTCTGCTCCCATAGACATTTACAGCCTCCAAAACCACATCACTATGAGTCACTATATACAGGGTCACTATGAGTGAGAACCAACTCCACAGCACAGAAACACCACCACCACCACAATTCTACAAGGAGTCCTAGTGTGGCACTGTAGGATAAACACTGGACTGCTAACCACAAGACTGACAGTTCAAACTCACCAGCCGCTCCTCAGAAAGCCTACACAGAGTTGCTATGCATCACAACAACAAGAAGACCCACCAAAACACTCACGCCACCACAGTATGACACACTAACAGACAAGTAACTGGAAGCTACGCCACCAGTATTTTAAATACCAGCAAGGTCATCAGTGGTAGACAGGTTTCAGCAGACAAAGACAGATGACAGAGAGGTGGACTACTTCTGAAAGGTTAGACACTGAAAACCTCATGAATACTCGCAGAACATTGTCTGATACAGTGCCAGAACATGAGCCTCTTGAGTTGAAAGGCACTTGAAATACAAGGAAAAAAGAGCTGATCCTCAAAGTAAAGTTGACCATCATGATGTGGCTTGGAGCAAAGTTTCCAGGACCTCCATTTGCTGATGGGACACAACTCAAAATGAGAAAAAACAGCTACAATATCCATTAATAATCAGAATATAGAATGTATGAGGTGTGAATTTAGGAAAACTAGAAGTCATCAAAAATGAAGTGCATAAAGATTGATACCCTAGGCATTAGTGAACTGAAATGGAGGGAAGGCCCTACCTCCTGCCCCTCCTGACTTCCCTCACCCATTCACAAGTCTGTTACTGGCCATTTTGAATCTAACAATCATATAGTTTACTATGCCAGGAAACAAATTGAGGAAGAAGTCCAAGGTGTACTAAAAGCATTGGCAAAAAACAAGGTTCCAGAAATAAACAGAATACAAATTGAAATGTTTCAGCAAGCATGCAGCACTCACTCATCTATGCCAGGAAACCTGGCCAACCAATTGGAAGAGATCTGTATCTGTGCCCGTTCCAAAGAAAGGTGACCCAACAGAATGCAGAAATCATCGAACAATATTATTAGTAAGACACACAAGTAAATTTTGCTGAAGATAATTCAAAAATGGTTGCAGCAGCACATCCACAGGGAACGGCAATAAAGGCAAGCCGGATTCAGAGGAGGACATAGAATAAGGAGTATCATTGCTGACATGAGATGGATCTTGGCTGAAAGCAAAGAATACCAAAGATGATTACCTGTGCTTTATTGACTATGCAAAGGCATTCAACTGCATGATCATAAAAAACTATGGATAACATTGCAAAGAATACTTCATTGTGCTCATGGAGAATCTATACATAGACCAAAAGGGGTTTGTTAGAACAGAACCAAATCTATACATGAACCAAAAGGGCTTGTTAGAACAGAAAAAGGGGATACTGAACAGTTTAAAATCAAGAAGGTGTGTGTCAAGGTTGTATTCTTTCAACATACTTATCTGATCTGAATGTTGAGCAAATAATCTGAGAAACTAGACTATATGAAAAAGAATGTGGTTATCAGGATTGGAGGAAGACTCATCAACAACCCGCAATATACAGATGATGCAGCCTTGCTTATTGAAAATGAAGTACTTACAGCTGAAGATCAAAGACTATAGCTTTCGATATGAATTGTTCCTCAATGTGAAGAAAATGAACATTCTTACAGTAAATAAAATCATGATAAACAAAGAATGACTGAAGTTGTCAAGGATTTAAGTTTACTTGGATCCACAATCGAAGCTGATAAAAAAAAACAGTCAAAAAATCAAGCAATACACTGTATTAAGCAAATCTGTTGCAAAAAAAAAAAAAAACTCTTTAAATTGTTAAAAAGCAAAGAGGTCATTTTATGGACTTAGGTGTACCTGAGTCTTATATGATTGGGAAAGCTAGACAATGACTAAGGAAGACTAGAATAGAATTGATGCATTTGATGGTTGGAGAACATTGAAAGTACCTTGGAATGCCACAACAAACAAATCTGTTTTGGAAGAAGTATGGCCAGATTGCTCCTTAGAAAGGATATCGTTTCTCATGCTTTAGATGTTGTCCATGGAAACGGGCATCATGTTTGGTAAAAGATAATCAGTGAAAAAGAGGACGACCCCAATGAGATGAACTGATACAGTGACAGCATTGATGGGCTCAAACACAACAATTGTGAGAATGGCACATTACCAAACAGTGTTTCATTCTATCGAACAGAGTCACTATGAGTCGGAACCGATTCAATGACACCTAACCACCACACTCTACCTCAGCCAATGGCCCAACCACAGAAGCTTAAGCCCAGGTCTAAGTACCTACTCCTCTCTCATCTGAAATGCCACCAAGTTGTATGGCTCTCACTACACAAACAGCTCTCAGAGCCATCTCCAGCGTCACTACCATATGCAAGTTCTCCTCGTCTCCCACCTGAAATAGTTGAGCAGCTACTCCTAAATGGTCCTCCTTTGTTCAACTTACCACACAACAGAATGATCTTTCTTTAAAAAAAAAACAGCTGGCCTCCTTTATATTTAAAACCCTCCATTACCCTGTGGAAGGAACTCTGTTAGTGTTGTGGTTACACACTGGGCTGTTAACTACAAGGGCCAACAGTTTGAATCTACCAGAAGCTCAGCAGAGGAAATATGAGGTTTTCCACTACCATAAAGATTTACTGCCTCGGAAACTTTATACAGGATCATGTGAGTCAGCGCCAACTCGGTGGCACACCACCACCAAGTGGAAAGGTCCAAACTGCATACCTTAGCCCAGAAAGACTCTCGTGGATCTGGCCTGTCAGCCTCCATTCTCTCTGATCCCCTCCTCACGTATTGTCCAGTCATGCTAAACAACGCTTGGCTCCTCTCATTCCACACCCTGTGCACACCATTTCTTTTGCCCAAAGCACTCTCCCATTCCCTCCCGGTTAACATGTACTTCTACAGAATCTGGGAAGCCTCCTGAACCTCCCATGTCTTGGTTAGAGGTCCCCTCTGAGTTCAGCAAGTACCCTATCCTACACTTGAGTTCAACGTGGATGTGCTAAACAGCTGAATGCTGTTTCCCAAGGGCCTAGCCTAGAGAAGGCAATTGTAAATGAACAAAAAAAAAAAATGTACAAATGGACCAATAGAGGAAAATCAGAGAACAAATTTATCTACGTTTGGAAAATGTTGTTCTAGTTTCTTTGAGCTGAATAACTCCACAAGGGGTCTTCAAAAAGTCTGTCGAAAAATTCCACTATCTTTTAATTTCATGAATTTTTTTAAGTTACTTTGTATTTCCCTTGGTCTTGTGCCCCAATAAGTCTGAATTCTCACCTCTTCTCACAGGCCGGAGGTGAGCTCAATCTCTCTGCTCCCTGCAGTCTGCAGTCAGAAGGCAATGATTTCTCCATTAAACCAGACTCTTTCCTCAGACTTTTCTCCAGCCCTTTTCCCCCAGCAATCACCAACCCTCATCTAGAGGAGTTGGAGGATGTACGCTGGGTTCTCGGCAAAGTCTATCTTCCCCACAGACCATAGGTACCACCACTGGGATGAGAGCAGCAATAGCACAGTGGAAAGAACGCAGGTGTCAGAGAGCCGGGGTTCAAGTTCACTTGCTAGCTTGGTGACCTTGGGCATCTAGCATCTGTGTTTCCATCACTTCATATGTTAAGTGAGGATAGTACCCGTTTTGTCCGTATTAGATCTATATATGTAAGGAGTCTGGGCGGCGCACAAGATTTAAGAGCTCAACTACTAGATGAATGGTTAGCAGTTCCAACCCACCAGAAACTTTTCAGAAGGCAGGGCTGGCGATTCGCTTGAAACCCTATGGCGCCATGGTACTCTGGACACAAGGGGCCGCCATGAGTTGGAAGGAACTCCCTGACAATCAACATGTGTACAGCACATATGTATGTATGTGTAGTGCACTGTATTATACTGAATAAGTGATACACTCTATAGGTGATAGCAGCTACTTTGTCTTGCACACCTACAGTGCGGTTGTTGTTAACTGTCGTTGAGTCGGTTCCAACTCCTAACATAGGGTTTCCAAAGAACGGCTCGTGAGTTTGAACTGCCGACCTCGCGATTCAAACCAACCTTGTTGTGCACCAAGTGAGAATATTGAAGTTCCACGAAGCGAGGTTAACGCAGGGTCTCTCAATTAGAGAGCATTCGCATAAGACCCCACCTGGATCTGATCCCACAGCTAGGATGGATAACCAAAGAAAAGGCTGCATGCAACGGGTGGAGGATACCGCTAATGCAAAGGAGAGGGCAGGAGAGGGCGCCTGAGCGCTCAGCGGGCAGCGGAAGCCGGGGGCGCCAGGGCTGTGCAGAGGACTGCAGCGGGCGGGCTTCCCAGGCAGCGCAGGGTCTTACACTGAGGATGTCCTGCTGTTGCAGCATTTCCCGCACTTTCAGGGCCGTGCTGTTCTCCAAGTCCTGGATAGTCTTGACCAGGTCCTGATTGAGCTTAGTGAGGAAGTTCTCATGGCTCTGGAGTTCGTGGAGCGAGGTTCGCCGGCTTCTGAGCACTGTCTACAGACAGAAGGAAGGAAGGAAGGAGGTGCTGCGCCAGGCTGGCTGGAGCCTCAAGGAACCTGGGGACAAGCGCCTTACCGCAGGACACCCCTTGTGGCCGCCATTGGTAAATGCAGCTGTGCTGGGGCGTCCGTTCCCCTTTGTCTCCTGCCAAAGCATCTGAAACACGTTTTTCCCTAAATTTCCGTCTCTAAAGTGGGAATGCAAATTACTTAGGTAATTCAAGTCAAGGTCTTATTATCGATGGCATCTTTTGATCAAAAATATATAGCATGGGGGGAGGGGGGAGGAACCTGTAAAAGCAGATTGTGAAAGGCATAAACCTGTCAGAGAAGGAAAACTCAAATATTTCCCACTGAAGCGAGTGATAGGAAAGTGGTAAGACTGCACCCTGCCAAAGGGGGAAAACTTGCAAGGCCCAGGAAAACAAAGCAGTCCCATCAAATGCTGGCTCTCACAGGTCTCACTGTAACCTTAAAAGCTACCCCATGGAGGTTTGGGGCTAACAGAGGTGACAGTTGTGTGGATAGGAGCAGGAGAGGCAGAGTAGGTAAAAACAACCACCATTTCCTGTCTGGTGCTGAGCCCTCTCAGTAAAACGCAGATCCTTGTGGAAGGATTACGGGACTGGTCTGAGATCACACCCAACAAAATTAAGACCAAAATAGCTAAGTAACCAACAATCGGGCCTGCTTACTCTGTGCCAGGCACATGGTATCAATTCTTCCCCCAACCACCCTATGTGTATTAGCCCTGTTTACTGATAAATGGAGTTGTGGTGTGGTGCTGTGGGTTAATGCGCTACACTGCAAAGTTGAACTGCAATATTGGCGGTTCAAGCTCACCAGCCACTCTTCGGAAGCCCTATGCAGAGTCACTATGGTTTGGAACTGACTTGACGGCACTTTACAACAACAACTGATAAATGGGGGCTCAGAGTGTGGTTAAGTGATTTGCCCAAAAGTCACACAACCAGGAAGTATTGGAATTGGAACTAAAAAGCCAGACTTCTGACTCTAAATGTCTTTCCACTACACAAAGGTTTACAATTCAATGGATTTAAAACTACAGCCACAGCTGAAGCACATAGTGTGAGACTTGGATGTTAGGTCTAGGCACACCTCATTCAAATTCCAGCTCTTCCACTTACCATCTAAGGCAAGGGTGGGGGACCATTTTTCCTGCCAAAACTTGTAACATCATTCGCAAGCCATATAAAATTATCAACTTAAAAATTAGCCTGCCTACCCAAAATGGGGGGGTGGGGGAGCGCTACAAAGGCTTACAAGCTTTCAAGAGGGAACCTAGATCCAGAGGGCGTGGAGGAAGGTAGAATCTCCACTGAGTAGTAACCAGTCTGTCTGAAGTTAGCTGATGCAATGAAATGCAGCTAGGTCTCTTGTGATACAATAGTGAATAATTGTTATCAGGACTGATTGTGAGGGTTGGAAATGTAAAGGTAGA